TAATATTGTATGTCTATTATATATACATACATACGTACATACATACATAAATGGAAAAAATAACATGGACTGTATTGAATTTTGTAAAGTACTCTTTTTCTAATTCTTTTAAATTGTGATATATTTCTGAATGATTTCTTTTGCACATTACTAATTTTGTGTCATTGTGCTTGTGTTTTGATGCTTGCATACAGCTACATATCTGCTTTTACTTAAAGGCTGGATAGTAAATATTTTAAACCTGTAGAGATATGGTCTCAGTCATAACTACTCACCTCTCCTGTTGTAGCTCAATAGCAGCCATGGACAATATTTAAACAAATTAATATGGCCATGTTCCAATAAAACTTTATTTACAAAACAGGCAAATGGCACACAGTTGGCCAATAATAGCCATTGTCTATTTTTGTTTAATTTTTTTCTTTTAAAATAAGGGTTTTTGTCTTTACTTATCAATTTCACATTTTTAAAATCAGATTCTATTTTAACTTTATTTAGGCATTTTTTTCTTCTTTCCTTGGCTTTGTTACTTTTTTTAATGCCTTGAATTAGATTATTAATTTACTTATTTATCATTTTCATGTTTAGTCACATAAGTATTCAGGTATGATATTTTCTAAAAGTACAACTTTACTCTGTCCTGTAAGTTTATTGTGTGGCGTTTTCATTAATTTTTAGACTTCTGCAACTTTAGTTTTTATTTCTTATTTGTTAAGAAAGCTAAGAGAGATGCGTATATAGAATTGCATGTGTGTGTTAGTTTAAATTAATTTATTATTTTATTCAAGTGTTTTCCACATGGCCCAATCCACCATCACGTCTCACCTGGAATGTTGTATTACAGTTACCTAACTGGTCTCCCTTTTCTCCTACTCAAAAACCTTGAGTGGCTTCCCATTTAATTCAGAACAAAAGCCAAACATTTTATAATGGATGTCTTCAAACTCATGTCCCAAATGAATCTTCTTCCCACCTTCCTAATGCCTAGCCTAAGCCACAAGGCCTGGTTACTTTGTAGTCTACTTTAAGTGATATCTCTCTTTCCCCTGCCTCCATCTTCTCCCCTGGATTGTTGATGTTGCCCCATAGCTGCTCCTCCAGCCTCTGTTCTTAGCACATCTGTGAAGTTCCCTCTCTAAACAAAAAACCTGATACTGCTTAAAAATTTTAATGGACTCTCCTTTCACCGATATTTAGGACCATATAAAGGCTGGCCCCAGTTCTCCTTCCCAGCTGTATTTTCTTGCATTCAGCCCCACACTTACTGAACATAACACCCTCCAGACACACTGTACTCTTTCATTAGTTCCAGCCTCTAAGCTTGTTTATTCTACTGCCTACCTTCCCCTATTTTGCAGTATTTCACTTATCCTTCAAGACTTTTTCGGTAAAGACTTTTTTGGTAAGGCTAGCAGATCATTGGTTCATTTATTCAAGAAATTTGTAGTAGGTACTAGCTATGTAGAAGATACTCTGCCAGGTGCTAGCAGTACAAACACAAATGAACCATAAAGCCATCCTCATCTAGTTTTACCTGTGTCTACATCGCTCTATCATAAACATATCATACTTTATAGAAATCATTTGTATATGGGTCTTCCTTCCAGTCTGCAGATTATCCAAAGCTCAGATTTTGTCTTAAATGTCTGTGTATTCCTAGGATCTCACACATGATAAGCAGGTGTTTTTTATTTCAATAACCTTCTCTTTGGTTCTTTACAGTGTATTTTTTTTCTGTTAGTTACTATCATGTTTTTTAAATTTGTTAGAAGGTACTTTTCTTACAAATTTAAATAATTAGTATAATAATGAATGTGAAATTGTATAATGCTAAATAGTCTCATAAGGTAAAAGTATAACTGTATTGTGCATAAATAAGTAAAAATAGCACTGCAAGTATCTTCCTATAAGGAACTAAGGTCCTTAAACTTGGGTGCATCAGAACAACTTGGGGAGCTAATGAGAAATGTACAACAAAAACATGAAAAGATGTTTGATATCATTAATCATTAAGGAAATACAGATTAAAACCATGATGAGATAGCACCACACACCTATTACAATGGCTAAAATAAAAAAATAACAAACAAGAATGGGAAGCAGCTGGCATTCATCCATTACTGATGTGAATGTAAAATGGTACAACCACTCTGTTTGACAGTTTTCATAAAGTTAAATATACATTTATCATTATGACCCAGAAATTTTACTCCTGGTATCTACTTTAGAGAAATTAAAATATATGTACACACACAAAAAAACCTTGTACATGATTGTTCAGAGAGGCTCTATTCATAATTGCCCAAAATGGAAACAACCCAAACAGTCAGTGGGTGATTGGATGAGCAAACTGTGATATATTCATCCATACTATGGAATACTACTCACAATAAAGAGGAATCAACTATTGAGACTACAACTTAGATGAATCTCAAAGGCATCATACTGGATGAAAAGTTCATGTACTATTTGATTCAATTTGAATAACATTCTTGAAGTGACAAAAGAGCGGGGATGGAGAACAGATCAGTAGTGTCAGGGGCTGTGGGTAGGTGGGGAGGATTTAATTATAAAGGAATAACAAGGGAGTTTCTAGGGTGTTTTGTATCCTGATTATGGTGGTGGTTACACAAACTGAATGTATGTTAAAATTCATACAGCTGTACACCAAAAATGGAAAATAATTTTACTGTATGATAATTTTTAAAATAAAAGATTTTAAACAAAAATAGGCCTCATTCTCAGGATTGCTAGTTTATTTGTACTGTGAACTAGGCCACATACCAAATGACAGATTCATATTCAAAAATAATTAAGAATGAACAACCCAGGCTTATTTTCAGATTGTTACCACTTCAGGTCTCTACTGAACCAATAAAAAAGCAGTGCACAGAATACTAGCAAGAATAGAATCAAAAGAAAAGTGACCCTCAGTGTCTCTTAGGTCCTCACAGACACCAGTGGTTGAACCCACCTGGCCGAGTGGGAGGTGCTGTGTCAACACTCCATGGTCTGCCTGCTGCCTTATAAGAATATTCTTAGGGGCCGGCCGAGTGGCTCAGTTGGTTAAGAGCTCGCTCAAGAGTTTGAGCTCTGAGCAACAGCGGTTCGAGTCCAGCCCGAGCTGAGCAGCCGCTGAGCTACCAAGAGGTAGCAGGATGGCTCAGCTTAAAAAAAAAAAAAAAAAGAATATTCTTCACCACAGTTACATATTTCCTACATTCAACTTCTTACTATGCCACTGGTGTCACCAGCTACGACCTACCTCAACTGGAGTTTCACTGAGGTGTCTGCATTCCTAACAAGCACATCAGGATATTCCAGTACATGGATCCACGGACCCCCAGATCTGCCTGAAACTAACAGCAGCCCAGCAGTATGAGTCCTACAGAACTTCTCCTCCAAGCACTATTTTTTTTGTTTCCTCTCTTAGCTCTGAGTGTTCATTTGTGAATATTACAGGAGAAATGGAGTGGGTGAAATGTTTCTTCTTTCCCCACCCTTAGCCCATGAAGGAGCGCTGTTATATCCTAGCAAATACTCTGCAGCTGACTTTATCCCATATTCATGAGACTGATAATGACTCGTGTCTGAAAAGATGAAAGTTGAGGCAATATGATCCAAATGTAGTTTATCATGAAGCATAGGTTTAAACATGATTTCTAAGAGGCTGACCACCTTGCACAAAAATGAAATAAGAACACACTCCCCTTGAAATTGAAGATGTACTTTTTGTGTGCGTGTATATTTTATTTGGAACTCAAAGGCTCAAAATGTGTAACTTGTTATTTACTTGGCTGGCCACTAGATGGTGGGGTTTGTTAATGTATTACCTTCCGTTTTATTTTTGAAGCACATTTCATGGAGTGCTATTTTCTTCTATGGTTTTCTTAGTTAATTGTTATTAATGTAGAAGTTTAAAAACTTAAGTAACATTGTAGATAATCAATGTGACAAAGCCTATACTAGAACCCCAGACCCCTGAAATCCCGCTCCCTACTAATGTAATTCCCCTTACATAAAAACTATGGAAGAAGATTTCAAAAGAAGCTATTGGAATGTTGGTAATGAAATATTCAGAGCAATAGCAAAACAACATAGGATGTTATGCCTAAACAGAAGCTTTGACTATATAAACACTATGTTAATCTAAAGCCTTTAATTTTGAAAAATTCTCTCCCATTGTATAGTGTCAGTGAATTTTGTAAACATTCTGAATAATGTAAACATTATACAGACTGCAGGTAAGTGGACCAAATCCCACATCTGAGCTCAGACAAGGTCAAAGAACAGACACCAGAAGTGAAGTCAGTATATGCGTATTCAGGGCAGATAGAAAGTTGAGGGGCTAAGAAAGGTGCCAGTGCCCTCCTGTCAATGATCACCAGGAAACACAACTGTAGGTAAACACATTGGGTTTATAGGCTCATTGCTGTTGAGGAAGAGTGTATGCCACGTGGAACCGTGGGTCATCTCAGTAAAAAGAGGGAAAGGCTTCCAAGTCAGAGGGTCTGGAATGAAAGTGTCATCTGAAGTGAGTGTGGATTTGTCAGAAAGGGCCTTAGAAAAGTTGGCCCTTGTGGCTGGCATGAGTAAGTGAGGTTAGTGGATAGGAATGATTTCTGTAAGGCCTTGCATTGTAGGGACTCTTGTCTTTACTCTGAGATTTATGCTTATTTTAACAGAGTATGTTTGGAAGGACAGGAAACAGGCAATACTGATTGATTGCAAGAAGAGCACACCCGGGTGGAAGAGACACTGGTTTTAACTTCTTTCCTTTTGGATTTTGTGTTGTGTTCAGGATTATCTATTTTTTAAGATCTATTGAAATTCAGTTTTTAATAATTTTTTATAAAGTGTTATATACTAATACTTAGTAAGACCTTATGATGCGTAAAAATGATTTTATGCTCTTTGATAAACACATTCGACAGAAATGCTAAATAACATTCTCTTTTAAATGCTAAACACTTTTACGTTTTGTTTTATATCTGCTCTAGGTGCAAAAGTCAAGAAATAAGCAAGTACGAGAATTATTCCCAGATGGCTTTAGTATTCATCATGCAGGAATGCTTCGGCAGGACAGAAATTTGGTTGAAAACTTGTTTTCTAATGGGCATATCAGAGTCCTAGTCTGTACAGCCACATTAGCCTGGGGTGTCAATCTTCCTGCCCATGCTGTTATCATTAAGGTAAGAGCTTACCTCCCTTTGTACATGGATTTGTGGTGTCTTAAACCTGTGGATTGATTTATTTAGAAAAATATTGTGAGTTGGCGGCTTCACTGACTTTGAATGTTATTTATATAAGGTCAGAATTATTTTCTCCAAAAGAATCTAGTTTATATTGTGAAAATTTAACTCTGTCACAGATGATGAAAGGATTAGTTAAAGTACACTTTTGAGATCTTTCCATATTTGCCTAATTTCAGTATTCAGCTCATCAGGATTATATTTGTGTGTGTTTATGTAAATTTGTATTAACTTTTCCTCATCTAGGGAACACAAATATATGCTGCAAAAAGAGGCTCCTTTGTTGACCTTGGAATATTAGATGTCATGCAGATATTTGGTCGAGCTGGAAGACCACAATTTGACAAATTTGGGGAAGGAATCATCATAACAACACATGACAAACTCAGCCATTACCTCACTTTGCTTACCCAACAAAACCCAATTGAGAGTCAGTTTCTGGAAAGCCTTGCCGATAATCTAAATGCAGAGGTAAGATCCAATGAGTAAAAGGTTGGCATATAATCATCAGCTGCAAGAATGACCAAGTGAAATAAAGGCTGAGGTGGTTTTATTTTGTGATATTTAGGAATACAGCTTATGCCAGTATACAGTCATAAGACACAGCAAGCTGAAAGGCAATATTGTTGATTAATTCAGAGTAGTACAGATGCAAATGATAACTGATAAGAACTCATTGCTAAAAGAATACATATATACTTTTAAATTGCATGTTTTGTTGTAGGGAAGAAATCTAACCAAAGCTATACAAACTAGGGAAACAAAGACCAATTACAGCAACTATTTTTGTATTACACTTTTACAAACTTTTTTATGAAGTATATTTTGGTTTTTACAAGATTTATAAAGTTCTTTTATCTTAGATCATTTGATTAACTTTGTTATATAAAATATGATTGCCAGAGTATTATAATTTGTTTCATGTATGTATGTAAGTATGTTTTGTGCCAAGATTTCAATAGCAAACCCTAGAAGCCTAGTTAACATCTTAACTGGTAAAAAGGATAAACATTCTTAAGAGTCTATATGTCAAACATTCAAATGAGGTTTTACTGTTTTCATGACATTTTTAATTATTGCTTTGGCATTCAATGCTTTTCTACTTCTATATCCTTTCTTACATTTAAAGTTGACTCAAAGAATTTTCGAAAGTAAGAGGGATATAAATATTAAAGAGAAGAATAAATGAAATATTTACAATGAAATATTATTTGTGTACAACTCCTATATCAGGTACTTCTTAAACATTTCATAGAAGTTTCACTTACATTTTATTGATGTTATTTACAAGTCTTTTTAGAGGATGAAAAACACACCTACTCTGCAGTCCCCTGTGTTAAGGAGCATATAGTTCAAAGGGGAGGAAAAGAACCAAAAAAAAAAAAAAAAAAACCACAGTGCAATAATTTTGGAAAGTGATAAGTTCTATAGAAGAAGAGAGTACTTTTGGCCCCAGACTATCAGAAAAGGCTTTGCTCATGAAGATGTAAAATGTGATCTGGGTTCAGAAGGATAGATAAGGTTTGGACAATCTGGTTGGAAGTTAGAAAAAGTCTTGAAAGATACTGGTTTCTAATATCATAATTATAAGAAAATAGGAAATAAGTTTTGACTCTAAAGAAAATACTATAGATCAATTTCAATCCTCATTGCCCACGATGATTGTATGGTTTAAATAATTGTGTCTTTGGTCTTGGGTCAACAGTATCTATGATGGAATAGTCTGTTGTACAAAGATAGTAATAGTAGCAATCTACTGAGAACCAGCTAAATCCAGGGACTATGCTGGGTGCTTCTTGTATATTCTATCACTCTCTCAATATTCCTGCTAAGTAGATATTATTGTCCTCAGAGAGATATGCAACTGACCCAAAGGTTATTTAGCTACTAATGTTTGGGACTAGTATTCCAACTCAGGTCTATTTGACTCCAAACCTAGCCTTTTCATTATAGCCTGGGGATCATTATAGGAAATGTAGTAAATTAAAGGTGAATACAGTTCTTTATATTAATACCTATCATTTGCTTTCTCCTAAGACCAGGAATAAACATTTTTCAAATTGGTAGTCATAATTTCTCTGACATACAATAAAAATATCAAGGCTCTCTTATGCAATTTTTCTAGAAAAGCATATCAAGGAAGACTATATCTTCATAAACTTAGAATTACTGTCCTTGATAGCTTCCTGTAAGTGGTAAAGTAAACACAAGGTGATGATGTTATACAGAAGACACAGGTCAGTAAACTACTGCTCTTGTCCTCAAGGAATTCTTTTTCTTAGGAACTATAAAATACAATCAGAGAAACTATTTGGTCCAGTCCTGAGAAATTAAAAATAAATTGTAGTCCATAGTTTCACATCTTATTCATAAATTACTTACTAGGTATTTCATTTTCAGAAATGTCAACTGTAACCATTAATTCCATAAAGGGAATTCAAATAATGAAACATATACCTTGAAATTTTTAGCTAATATAGTGAAATATAGGCATTACTAGCATTTCTTTCCCGTATTTTGGTCTACTGGAATAGCTCCCAATTAAAGTCAATTTTATTCTTAAGGAAAGCAACTCCCTTAAATTACATTTGAGTGTGAAATTAAATTTGGTAATCTGTGGAAATCAAGTGTGAAATTAGTTTATATAAGGAATGTGTGCTGTGTTCTAAAGGTAATGGGTTTTTAAGTCTTCAGATTCCTAACATCTTTGCAAGACTGTACAGTGGCAGTGACCACCATAAAGATCATGTTAGATTAGGAATGTTGCCTCTACTAATACATTTGATAGCATTAATATCAGTTCTGACCATTAGTTTAGAAGAACTGGAGAAGGTATTATATTAATTCTAATGCAAACATCTTATGAGGCATCTTTGCTGACTGATGCCTAATGGGACTGACTCCCTAATGTTAGTGCCAGAAGGTCACAAATCCCAGCCCTGTATAAAGCTACTTAACTTTGCACTGAGAGAAACACTGAAGCAAGTTTGAGGCTTATTAAAATTTATTCAGCAGATATTACTGGGTCCCTGCTCTGTGCCAGCCCCCTGTAGTCCATACTTTAAAATATGGTAGTCTTTCTGTATAGCCAGACATCATTCCTTCCGTGGAGCCCCTCCCATCTCTGCAGTAGTGCAAACACCGCGTCCTTAGATTTAAGGCCTCCAGTCTGACCAACCTTCCCAAGCCTGGCTGTGGTTACTCTCCAGCACAGATCTTCTGCCCTAGACGGGCTCTTACTCTACTCACTTCACGTATGAAGTCCCAGTTTTCCTGTTTATAAAATAGGGATAATCTCACTGGTCTGTTGTGAAAATTTAACAAAGGCCTGTGCCAACTTGATATTCAATAAAAAATTGTATAACTTACCATTGTCTGATAGTCCACTTTTACTCAGCCCCATTTATATTACTTACTGCCAGCACTCACATTTCAGTTGAATAAATAAATGAATGAATGGTAGCATAAATGGTTTTTTCGTATACTTACTAAAGGAGTTTATACACACACACACATACATACACAAACGCGCGCATGCATACCCATGATAATTATATTTGTTTATTTAGTTTTTATGTAACTTAGTGATACGTTGAGTCTTACTTCTAAGTTACCAAATTGGGGGTAGATTTTTGTTTACCCTCTTTTACTTCACAGAACATAAAGCTCTATGACACTCTATAGTAATGGCACTTTTATAAGTTTCACATGTTAGGTGTTTTTCTTTGAAAGAAGTTTTGAATACGTATTATGTGCTAGGCACCATATATGGTGGCTTCATATGTGCCATCTTAATTAATTACATGTGTCTCATCTACAAGAATGCGAAAATTTTTGAGACTGTGAACCATGCTCTATTAGTTACCATATACATTGTGCTTTGTGTGGTACAGTCTTATTATTAACTATATAATTACTGAGATGAATGGATAAATTTCAAAGAAATACTGTGAAAATTACTTATTTTAGAAAAGGCTCCCGTGCTAAGTAGCCACTAGGTGACAGCAGATATTTGCAGGTAAATTTTATTTTTTGTCTGTCACTAGGTGGCATTCTAGGATTAATCTCAAAATACGATGTACCATCATAAATTTTCATTCATTTTTCTGGGTAGACTGTTTCTTTTTGGTGAACATTTAGAAGACTTGCATTACTTGATCCAGCCTTTGATACCTATTTCTTCCTTTCCTTTTCATCTTATCATTAGTGGCAATAGATAATTACTTATTAATGTTAATTTATTGAGTCTGATTTTGAAAATAATAGCGTTTATTTTATTTTTTATAAATTTTTTACTCTTAGGAGTTGCATGATCTTATTTTAAGATATCTATAGCTCATAAGGGATTAACACAATTTTGGCTTTCCAATAGTAGAATCACAAATTGGGAATGCTATTAGAGTCTTAGCCATATCATTAATCTAGTTTCCTTTACCTTAAGCAGACTAGAAAATGTTTAATTGTCTTGTAAATATTTACGAAGTGCTGTACAACTCCCTCATTGGCTAAATTTTAATTCTTGTTACTCTTTATTTTGTGGAAAATGTTCACATTTTAGGAAATGAATATATTTATCTACATTGTGGATGTTTTAGTCATTTGTAGATACATTAATGGACATTTACTTTTTCCAGCTTTATGGAGATACAATTGACATATGACATTGTGTAAGTTTAAGGTGTACACTGCAATAAATTGATACATGTATATATTGTGAAATGTTTACCACAA